ACAGAGAAAAGGAGAGAGCCAGAGAAAAGAGAAGAAGGAGAGGAAAAAAAGGAAAGTAACGCCAAAAAAGCCCAGCTCTTTCCCAACGTTTTTCCCCAGTTTCCGAGCGCTTTTGCTCCCCGATATTCCTTGCAGGTCAACAAACGGGAAGGAAAAACCAGGCAGCTCAAGGCTCAAAGAGGACGTGGAAATGCTCAGCAGCAGGAACATCCTAAATTAAAGCGACCTTGCCAACCATTCCCACCGGCCGGATTTCTTCTCCTTTTCCTTTCTCCCACCTCTTTTTCCCCCCGGTATTTTTTTCCCCCTCCAGAATTAAGGCGCGAGCTCCGTGCTGAAGGAACCTCGACTTTTTCCTGCCCAAACAACCGCGGAGAAGAAACCACCCCAACATTCCATTCCCCGCGGCTCCTCTGGACCCCTTCCAACCCGGCCACCCCCAGAGGCCTCGCAGGCACCCAGAACCTCCTCCCAAACTCCTCCGGAGCTTTTCCAACGCCACAAACCCAAGAGTTCTCCAGCAAAACCCCGACCCGGGGGGCGCCCGGACCCGCCCGGCCCCGCAGGACGCAGCGCAGCCTCTCCTCGCTGCCCACCGCGAATTTTTGCCTTTTTGAATATTTTTTTGGTGTTGTTTTTTCTTTCAAAACACACACGCAGAGCGGACTCGAGGCGGGGGTGACGCGGGTTTTTGGATTTTTGGGGTTTTGGGGAGCGGAGGAGGAGCAGGGGGGTCCCCGCGCGGCTGCGCTGCGGCGGCGCGGCCGGCAGGTGGCGCGCTCCGCCCAGGCGGGGGGCGATGGCGGCGGCGGATTTGGGGGCGACTTTGGGCCTAAAACGGCTCCGCGCTCGTCATTATTTGTAACCATAGAGCATGAATTACCTCCTGAGGTCATCAGCGAGAATTTACGACTGGTCAACAAAAGCACGTGACGCCCAAACGCACCCCCCACCCTCCCCCCATATTTGGCCGCATACATAGCAAAAACGAAGTACAGTGCATCGCTATAATTCATTAATACATCATAAATCGTCAAGCACGGGGTTATAACGACCACGAGCCACAAATCAAGCCCTCCAAAATAACCCAAATGAGCTCTTACTTTGTAAACTCGTTCTCAGGGCGCTACCCAAATGGCCCCGACTATCAGTTACTAAATTATGGGACCGGCAGTTCCATGAACGGTTCTTACAGAGATTCAAGCACCATGCATTCCAGCTCTTATGGCTACAACTACAATGGGATGGACCTTAGCATCAACCGCTCGGCCTCCTCCAGTCACTTTGGGGCTGTGGGCGAGAGCTCCCGCGGTTTCCCTTCTCCAGCTCAGGAGAGCAGGTTTAGACAGGCGTCCAGCTGCTCCTTATCTTCTCCCGACTCCCTGCCCTGCTCCAACAGCGAGAGCCACGGGGGCAAACCCGCCCCGTCCCCCTCCGAGCAGGCTCCTGCTGCCAGCAGCACCAACACAAATTTCACAGAACTAGACGAGACCAGCGCGTCCTCGGGAGCCGACGAGGGCACTCCACTAAGCAGCAGCATCCCCCGAGCGCAGGCAGAGCCCATCGCGACCTCCACGGCAGCGACAGAAGGGCAGGCACCTCAGATATTCCCTTGGATGAGGAAACTTCACATTAGCCATGGTACAGCTACTTCTTTTTCCCTCCTTGTGCTTGTTTATTTTTTGCCGCACACCCCCCCCCCCACCCCTGCACCGCCGCCTCGCTCTTTTTCTCTGCTCTTTCTTTCTCTTTTTCACCCTCTTTTTTCCCCTCACTCCCCCTCAACCTCACTCCCTTTTTTTTTCCTTCTCTCCTTCCTTTATTCCGCGGAGGCGCTTTGATCAAATCGCAGCTATTTATTGCTTTTGTATTTCTCGCTCTGGAGCTGCCTCTGGCGCCTGGAGGCGGGGGGGGTCTCTGTGTCTCTGTGATTCTGGGGGGGCGATTTTATTTTAGTTTCGCTCTCCTGGCCGCCAAATCGGCGCTTTTTTCCGAGCTCTTAGCACCGTGCGGGCGGTGGGAGAAGGTAATTTAAAAATTGAGGCGAGGGGGGTGTTCCTTGGGGTGGGGTGCGGGGGGTGGAAAGGGAAGAATTGACCATTAAAATGGCATTCGAGGCGCAGATGGGGCTCGCAGCCCCGTCCCGCTCTGATTTTCTGCCTTTTATTCCTGACGAGCTGCCCTTGACAAACCCCCCAAAAATCGCCAGGAGACCCGCGGGAGGGAAGAGCCACCCCCAGCTTCCCTCTCTGCGCTCAGCTCTCGCTTTTCTGCTGGAGAAAAAGCGGCGCTAAAACCTGCCAGGAGCGCCGGGAACACCCAGGGAAAAAAATAATAATTA